AGGAAGGACCATGCTCAGTGTTTAGAGAACCTGAGACTGTTTTACTGGAAACGAAGTATTACATATTAATTCTCAGGGGTAACAATGCATCTGCATTTTCGTTATTAATCAAGTGTAGATGCAAATGTCTATGCCACAGTATCCAATTACGATCAGGTGGACTGTGTGCTCGTTTGTCACGTTTATTTTATAAATAAATATATTCGTGCAAAAAAATACCAGGAACACGACTACAGTATTATTTTTAACATTTGATATAAGATATACAATATACATATTTCATATTGTGACTGCTCATATTTATTATTAATAAATAATAATTAAATTCAATAAAAAATATCTTTATCTGTCTAAAAATATCGTAGAAATTGTATTTTAAACAATTAAATGCATTAATAAGCATAAAGTTTAAATATATTCATTTCGAATATACATAAACATATACATAAACACTCACGCCTGTCACCCAGAGGGGTAGGCAAAGACTACGGACTTCCATTTGGCGCGATCCTGACACACCTCTCTCGCCTCTTTTACATCCATATATCTACGCATACACGCTCGTCGGTTAAGGGTACTCCTAATCTGGCCCATTTTTAATGTATCGCCGATTTGGTCGATAAACCTTCGTCTAGGGCGTCCCTTCCCGACCCTGCCGTTCACTTCTGCCACATAAATTTGCTTTGTCATTCTTTCCTCGTTCATTCTTTCTACATGACCAAACCACCGAAGCATTCCTTTCTTAATCCTTGTCACAACGTCATCTTGCAAACCACACTTTACTCTTATCACACTATTTCTCACCCTGTCATTCAGATTCAGCCCTAGCATACTCCTTAAGGAACGCATTTCTACAGCATTTATTCTACTCTAATGCTTCTTCTGCCAGACCCAACTTTCACTACCATACATTAAAGTAGGGACTAACACAGCATTATGAATTGCCATACGTGCCTTAGTTGACACATTCTGACTCCTCATAATAGCGTGTAGAGCCCCATTCACTCTATTTCGAATATATAGTATAGTAAACGCTTTTAACGTCTTTAAAAATCTCTAAATTTATTAAAAGTCTGCTTAAAATATTCAAAATGTATTAAATAACACAAGTACAGGTCGATTATATTGCAATAATGCAATAATGCTATGCGCCTGATTCGACGCATCTTGTGGTTCTGGTCGATGGAGGCATGCGGGTGGTGAGGTCTGCTGGGATTGCATGGGGGACCTTGTGATGGTGTAAGCCGACGATAGTCGTATTGATGTTTTTTGCATTCTGCAACATTGCGTCTCTGCGATGCTTGTTTGGCGGGTCGCTATTCTCAATGGCGTTCTCGGCGTCTTGGTTCGATTCACAACCTAAGTAGTTTTGCCCATGCTGGGCCCCTTCATTACGGGGCTGCAGACTATCTGACTTGCATGATGTTTTATATAGCATATCTTATAACTGCCTATTGGTTATATCTGCTATTATGGAGCATATGTGTCGACCTCATGAGGGTGGTAGCTGGGGGGAGAAGCTGCGGCCGAAAGCGCGCAACGTGGGACCCCATTCCCTTAAGGTGAGCGGTAGACTCACGACACGCTCTGGGGCCAATTGGCCGTGCTGATCATGCAATTGGTGGTGATGCCTTACACTTACATCACATCTGCAGGAACGGCGGTCTGGCTGGTGGTGGCGCTCAAGGAGGGCTTTTTATAGCCACTGTGACTGGATTTAATTATATTTACACGCATTGACGTGCGTGACTTCTGTCGATGTTTGTGCTTACGCAATACCAAAGGGCCAAGTCATCTTTTACTGGAATACGCCAGTTATTTTGCTGTTGACTACGGCGCAGTTCGTGTGCGTGTGCCGTCTGCTTCCCTCACATCTTTAATAATAATTTTTAAATGTGGGAGAGCGAAGCCCTTGTATCTGGTAATTTATATAACTATTGTGAGCCTTTTCCAAGCGGGAAGGGATTAATTAATAAGGAATTGACTGTTGTGAACCAGATACAAGTGGAATAGTGACGATTTAATGTTCTTAACATTTTTTGAGCTCTGTCGTCGTGAACGGGGTTCTTTAGCTTATAAGGCACCACCAACAGCTTTAGATTGCTCTAGTGCATATTCATTCTTCCAAAAGACACCTAAAATAACTAAGTTACTATACAAACACAACGTAAATAAGGGTCCTAATTAAAACTATCATGCCCAATTCGTGTTGGTAAACTTCACATTTCCTTGTAATGTTTTTTTAATTTCCTAGACACGTAGGTTTACGTTGTAATGTTTTCGCCCTCAAAAATTATTATTGTAATTTCTAATATCGGTGGTGCAGGCAGCGATCGCACTCATCTTTCTTGTGTACTACGAATTATCGGGTGAGATTTTTTGTCTATAGCTACCACGACACGGCGAACTTATAACTCGAAATCTACTAAGTTGGTAGGACTCCTTTTAGCGACCTTTTCGGAATAGGACACTTATCAATGTGTTATAGAAATGAGTTCAATTTTTTAATAGAATCTTGAATTCGCTAATAGCCAAGGAAAGAAAAAACTAAATTAAAAACCATGCACATTTTTTCAAGCTTCACATTTAGCGGGAATTTGATTCGTTTACAAAATGGAGAAATTCGAACTTCGTGCGGTAATTAAATATTTCTGCCTGAAAAAATTCTACAAAAAGTGTTTTTGAAGAATTTTCAGTCTACTTTGGCAGACAATGACGGAGCATTATCGTAGCGATGATCGATGTTGCAAAAACATCTCTGATAATATCGATATTTTTTTCTCTTTATTTATATAGGGTTTTGTCTCGAAGGGAAGGATACACAGTTGAAGAATAGTAGTAGTTAATTATATAAACTAAACAACAACAGAATATGGCCTTGCTAATTCACAGTTAAACAAACTTCTAAATCGTACATAGGTATTAATAACTTAAATTTTTGCATCAATAATTCAATACATCAGTCGAATTATGATATCGACCATAATGTCAATAGCCACAAAAACCACTTGAATGATAAATTAAAATCGTAGAAGAATAAAAACGAATGTTAAATATTATATTTTTATTTATATTATCATTAAAGTATGTACAAAATAATCTACATTTTTTTTAAATATAGTAAGTACTCTGGTTATATTAATAAAACTCTTATTTGTAAAATCGATGTTGAAACTTCCGACTACGACGTGTTCGTGACATAGACGTTACAATGTGTAGAATATTGTTGCATCATTGATGATAAAACATCAATATTTTATCTCGTAATAGCGATGATTATCGAAGATTGATAATTATAGATAACTCCAACGAAGTCGCAGGACATTTTTTTTTTTTTGGAAAACTAAAGTGAATTACAGTCCACCTCATGGTAATTGGTTACTGCAGTCCATGGATACTTACTATTTCGATCAATAAATTTTTGGAAACGCAATGAAACTCTAGAATAAGTTAGTTAATTTATGTAAAGTGTACGTATTTTTCAACGTAATCGCATTTTAAGCTATTATAGATTTAATAACGTTTTGTAAGTTGTTTAATACCCTTGGATAAAAGGTCTGATCCTGGGACTCCAAAAATGCCTATATAGCACACATGACTTCACTCCATCACAGCAGGGACATTGAAGAAAGCACTCTAGCAAGCAATTTTCCTCGACGTTTACTCTTTAGTTTCTTCGCATAGTTTTTTTGATTTATGATGCATAATAATTTCCAGTTATTGTCTGACTTTTACTTAAATAGTAGATCATTTCTATATCATCCGCATCCCAGAAGACAAAGGCCATTATTTTTCGAGCGGACGCAGACACCTTGAATTTCTCGGCGGGTGGGGAAAACGATTTTTCCACTCCTTGCTTTGGTTTTACCATCTCCGGGTTAAAATCGTGTGCCCACGTTTCATCTACAGTTACGAAATAAGCGCAAAAAGCATCTGCATCTTTTTCAATTATTGCTAACTTTAGCTTTAAAATGTCAACTTTTGCTTTCTTTTGGACATCTGTTATCTTACGTGGTAGCCAGCGCGTAGCCCTAGAGTTAAAATAAACTTAATTGTTCCAAACGAAAGCTTTAGAATCTCAGCTAAATAACGGATGGTCACACGTCGATCGACCTCAACAATTTCTGTGATTTTAATAATAATAATAATAACCTTTATTTGCGAAAAACATGGTAAATATATAGATGTATTCGTTGTATTATGCACGATATTATCAAAGAAATAAATATCGATATTATCAGAGCGATGTTTTTGCAACATCGATCATCGCTACGAGGGTGACGCAAACACATCATAATACAAAAAAAATGCTTAATCTCGTTTAGTTTATAAGCCTTAAGTAATTCTTTGTCGCTGTGTTGGTCCAAAAATGAATTCATCACCCTACTCTTGTTCGTGTTGACCAGTATGATCTATCTACTCGTATATCCATACCAGCGACAGATAGCAGTGTCGATGTGGTGTGTGAGACATGTGACAGGCAGTGATTGCTTATAGTATCGAATGACGACAATACTGGCTGTAAGAGATCTGGGCCGAACTGACCGAAACTGGGCTGAAGGTAAAAAATGACTACTTTTTTTTATAGGATAAGGATGACAAACGAGCACACAGTCCACCTGATGGTAAGTGGTTGCTGTGGCCCATAGACATCTACATTTATCCTCGATTACGAATCAAAATGTAGATGCGTTGTCACCCGTGAGGACTAAGATGGAATGCCTCGTTTCCAGTAAAAAGGGTCTCCGGTTTTCTACACTCACCATACGAAACACAGCAGCATTAAGCTGCTATTTTACGCCGGTATTCTGTGAGAACGTGGTCCCATTCGTGTTACAACTAGACCAGAAATATAGCTGCAGCATGGCTCTACCAAGTATAATTAAGACTATTAGTTAATGTTATCGAATAGTATTTAATTTATTTATGGCCGCAATTTCGAAATATGATAAATTTAAAAATATAAAGATAAAAACATCATATACAACATAAGGTTTTACCTGTTTTTGGCACTTTTGGTCCGAAAAGATGTATTTTCCGGCACGGGGTCCATCCTGAAGATGCCGCGGTTTTTCCGTTTCACCTCCATTTTTCTGCAATGCGTCTAAACGGCTTTAGCGGCTACTTGACATTGTAGTTTTTAAACAGTTGGCCTGCAAATACGTTTACAGTTTGATCTTAGCCAAAAGGCCGGGAATCGAATTAAGAGTTAATTTTTAAAAATATATTTCAAATACATCAATGTATTTAATTAGGTATAGCTTGGACTTTAAGAAATCATTAGGTATAGCTTACTAATTGCAGCTCAACTTAGTTAATAATTATTTATTGTAGTTCATATTATCAATACTTTAGCTTAATTTATCTATAATAATACAAGATAAAATTATTATATATTATTATTGAGATAAAGTTAGAAAATATCATTCTCCAAAGAACACAGCCTTGTTTTCACTACAACCACTACTTATGTACATATAAGCCTCCTTCTTCTTATGTAAGGGTTTCGGAACCAAATAGTTATTGAGAAAAAAACTATACTTCTTTTATTAATTACACACTGAGAAGCATTTTAACTATACTAATGTGTGAGAAGGCGAGGGAAAAAGACTTAGATTATTGGATAACGCCGTGGAGAGCAACCCTTCTGTGAAAGGAATTGACTCGAAAACTGATAGTTTTAACCTAATTTTTAATATTACTCGATAGTAAATATTCGATTATAAAGTTAGCCAAACTCATTGTTATTTTAATTAACATTTGAACCTTACTACACCTAGCCATAGCCAAAAGGAGCCGACTACACCGGCCTTTAACTATGAATAAATCAAATAGGTACACCTAAGTTTAACCAACCGCAATCGGCCGGCACCTAGTTGTAGCCAGTTAAACCCTAATCGCTGGATACCGTTACAGCCTATTAAAGTCCATTCCTGTCTCATAGGCGGTATATTTGCCAGTCGCTTTATAAGCTGGTTGGCAACCGCAGTTTTTATTTTTAGTCCTCATTAGGAAGACGCTGCTGCCCATCTCCTGAATTGTTTTCCTATGTAGCCTCTTACTACACCCACGGGATGGTATGTGGTAGTAGATATTCTTTCACCTTCAATACACGGTAAATAACATAATACACGGTAATAATAACAGCTGGATAAATAAAATATAATTATTTGTTCTGTTATCCAAACAGAATCACCTCGTAATTCTGTTACCGAACCATTTACTATTTCGTAAGGATTATGGTAATATATCGGAAAATCAAAAGAGAAATATCATATGATATTGCAATATAATCGCTATTTAGACAAACTCTATCGATGTATTATGCACATTAATTTTAAGTGTAAAACTGCGTATGAACACTTTATTCTTATTTTTTACTTCCCCACACAATACATGACAGTTTTATGTTATAAATAATTACAATAAATCAATATTATGCACTTGCTGCATCATATTGATTTATGTATATATGTATTATATATGCGGAGGCATTTTGTGTTTTGTTTCGTTTTTTACTTAGTGAGGCTAGTGCCTACTCGGAGTTATGTATATATACTTGAAAGTACATATTATAAATCCGCGCTTTTGCTAATTATCCGAAAATCGGATAAATAAAAAATTGTTCGTCAGATAATATTAAAAATTTTAAAAATGTGTCTTTTAATATTACGATGTTTAAATTATTATAGTTACATAACATAAAGAATTTTATTTTGTATGGAACCAATCGATTAATAGTTATTCTATCATTTGTCTCGCCTTGAAGAAATGTAGGTAAAGTTATCCCAAAAAGAGAATGATTTTGGAATTTCAAATTGGGAGGTAGTAAGAGCATTATATGTTAAATATGTAGTAATAATAGTTCAAGTTAAAGTAACAGCCTATACACGTCCCACTGCTGGGCACAGGCCTCCCCTCATTTCTGCGTTTTAGGGCAAGGAAATGTCCGCCGCGCTGCCCTAATGCTTGTTGGCGACCTTCACATGTCTTCGTTCATATTTTTTTCTTATTTCTCAGACGCCAGTTTTCACGCGATGTTTTTCTTCACCGCCGTGCACGTGATAAACCAGCACTTAAAATTAACAATTAACTATTTAATTGGTACTGGCGGGGATCGAATCCGGGTTGCTCGCGTACTGTGAAATTCACAGCAAGCGCTTAGCTCCCGAGCTAACACGGCATCGGCACAGCAAGTAGTAATAGTAGTACAGGTAATCGATAAGCAATTTTTTCGTTATCTAAAGTCATTTATGTTTCCTAATAACACCTTAAGATAAAGTCAAAGCTTACATATTATATACCTTAGTTTCTATTTTCGTCGTCCACAGATATATTTTCACACATAACTATATTTGTTAGCCACTTCTAAAGTGATTTTTCTCGAATTAACTCTCTTTCTCCTTTTCTTAAAATCTGAAATGATATGTTTACTATATTTTGGCTTATTATAATTGAAACATCATTTTGGCCGTGATGATAACAATTTATGAATAGCGTTCAGAATAGAAAGTGCTTGCATTTCATTCAATTACAGTTACAAATCTGGACGTATAAAGGCTAAATATAAAACCAAGCACAGCATAATTAGTGGGACTAAGAAATATGACGCCTCATCGCCACCTACATTGCGTCCTGTGTGTGTAGTTAAGAGAAGTCGTAAGAACGGCCAACGTCGGGCAGCAGCATATGGCGACTTAAGCTAACCCTCCTTACAACAGGAGAGGCCCATGTCCCAGCAGTGGACTTTTACGGGTCGATAAAGATGATGCATCACCATCTCAAGCGCCCTGACTTGAGAAAGTAAAAATATAATAAATGAAAATTCATAAAAAAATGTAGGTAGTTGCGAAAGTATTTATTGTATCATATTATTATTATATTGAACTAAACAACAAAACTAACTAAAGGATAAAAACGAACTAAGCTAACTAATTGACAAAGGAGTGTTATATGTAAAGCAAAAACAATTAATGCACTTACCTACTTACTTGCTGCGAGTATAGTAATTGAAGGCCGTAGGCGGTCGAATACATAGTTACATGAGGGGAACGGTTAATTATGTTTAATCCTTTGACGACCAATTAATAACAGTACCTATATTAAACAGACGATTAGGAAACATATACACAACATAAATATTATGCTAAATGTTGTTGAAGGAATATTTTCTTATAAATATGTGTTTGTTTTTTTTTCTTCAATATGACTCTTGGTGTTGAGTGTTCTCTTGGCTTTGATTGAGATGAGATTTTGATAGCAAATAGATAAGTAAGGCACACTGTTAAAAGATCTCGTGGTCGAATCGTATCACTTCTCTTACCTTTTAAAAATATTCAGCAAAACATTAGTTGAATTAAGCATCGTCTTGAAGTTAATCTCGCACAACACTTTTTAGGTACCCTTTTATTTATCACAATTTTTTAAACAAATCAAAAGAGTAATGTTGGCAAACGAACAATTGCTACTACAGAACCATAACATCTGCGGCAGATCGTAGATTTGGTCTCTCCACGCGTTTGACATTAGAGCCAATGTGAATAGAGTGGATCAAGTACCCCAGGGCAAAGTTGCGACCGCAGGGGTTCTAAACTCGTTGATGTTTGATATATTATGACATTATTATACTACTTCTTCAGTACCTTTTTTCTATTGGTAATCTATATAGAACATTTTCTTCGAAATCATAAAATAAATACATTCTGGAATTTTAACAAATACTATTGTGAAATATATGTTTGTTTTTTGCACAAGTTAAAACTACACTAGTAATTAACTTTAATTTCTATTCAAATATAAACTAAGTTGGATATAAATTACATTACAGACATAAATTGATATACTCGCGTGACGAAATGTTTTTGACGCCTGGTATCCTGCGGGCATAGTGTCGCGATCTCGGCGGACGGATGCCAATCAAAGCGCAGGCCAGTCACAACTAATCAACAGTACAACGTGAGAGGAACGCCTGGAGAAATGCGTCATCTTATCTTTCGTCACACCGAGTACAATAAATACGCCGTGAAATATTCACAACGAATCCGAAATTCCAACTCACATAAACAATATGTAAATAAACATTTATGGCATTGCTAACGTTTACACGGATGATTTTTTCGTGAAATATTAAAAATATTTATTTTTAAATATTTTGATAACATCTGTTATTAACTTCGTACAAAAATATTAGCTCCGTACAAAACCTGTCTCTTATTAATAGAATATTTTAAAGGATATTTAGAGGTCTTAGTCTTATTAACTGGGAGGCTACACAGTTAAGGCGACACCGCGAAAAAATGCACCTCCTTTCATCGAATAGTATAGGAGTATGACACGACTAACGAAACTGGAATTTTGATATAAGTAAATTCATGTCTTTATCTTGAGTTTGCTTGCTCAAAAACACGATTGTAAAATTTTGAGTCGATCATAATTATTTGCGAAAACACCTCTAAAAATCACTATAGTTGAAATTACAACGAAATTACTTAATCTATATGCTTGGGAACCACTCAAATACATTCATAACATCAATATTCGTAATTTACTTGCTCATTATTTTGATTGCTAAAATCAATAATTTTTTAAAAATATTTTAAGATTCTACGCGATTTCTAAGCGGTTTTAATAGTCGCGGACGCTACGCAATTTTAGACCTTATGATGGCGTTTTTGAAGTTTTTATGGAAATTATGTTTTACTCTGGTTAGTCCGGCGATAGCCATCTTCAACGGTTTTCGATGTGTCGCCTTAAAGCGGTTTCTAAGAACAAAATTAATCAATACGATTGAAATTGACAATTACTAACAAAAAATAACGTAACCTGTAAGAAAAATTCTCCATTTTATACTATTTAGAAGCTTGGAAATTGTAATAGTCCAATGTTTTGCCTGTATGTTTACATTCCTACGATTGTGAGCTTGTGCAATTTGATTCGATGCATTATAGGTACGTGATTAAATTTCATTGAATCATCATCATCATCAAATTGCTGTGTCGTGTGCCCGATCGCGGAGTGTAGCGATGGCGACGATAGTATCCGAAGCACGTTGTTCCACTAGCCAATTATAAGTAGAAGGGGCGTTCGTGAAGTTAGTACACAGGAGTGATTGCCGCGCGATTAAGCAAAAAAATTTGGGTGGCAACATCGTGCTATGCGTTTCCTGTAGAGGTCTCATAGGTTCTTGCAGTCACCCGATTAAGACCCAGAGGTTGAGATAATTCTAGTGTCATTGTCATCGCAACGCTTCGTTTAACGTCCGCCTCTATGCCCTCACTTGCAGGAGGCCAGACACCAGTCTTACGGTGTTATATATAATCCAGGCAATAGCTCATTTATTTCATTCTTTTCCTTTCTCCCTGTTTCCTTAGCATTTAGCGTTTTCGTTAAAAATACATAAGAAGTTTCATTTCTTTCACGTGTACACCGTTTGAAGTAAATCTACTTTCGTGCGGCTTGAGGGTAACTTATTATCTTTTTCAGGCGCAAGTAAGGTTCAATAAAACCTAGGCAGGGAAAATGGCTATAGATGGTACTTTTTAATAGTATTTCGTGAGTAGACATTATATAAAAACACATAATATAGAAAATTTTCAGATATCATTATACATATATTTATTTTTACCCTATTTTATATTAATTCAATACTAATAATAATAACTATTTTAAGATGATTATTTTACGAATATTAATAAGTAAAAATATTACTAAGTAAGTATATTAAAATTAAAAAAAGTTGTAGATACTTAAACTAAACAGAAATAATCATTAATACCTATTTATCATGTTTTTATGGTCCCATGTTGGTCTAGGACTTATAGGTCTCAAGTTTATGGAAACTTGTAATAAAAAAGAATGTGACAACTGCGTAGGTAACTAGTAAAGGGCGACTAATGGGATAATGAGTTTGTGATGGTATAGGCGATGAACTATCCAGCTCTTACTTCACCACTTCACCCCATCTTTTTTTTGCTAAATGTAGTCGGAATAGCTAGCTGCTTTTTAGACCCTGCCTACCCTATATAAATATAAATATATATGTATATATATATATATATATATATATATATATATATATGTGTGTGTGTATGTATGTACATGTACATTAATGTTAACATTCTTTAAAAGGGCTTTAACATTATTTACCTATCTTAAGAACTGGTGTATTTAAGTAGAAAATGAATCTAATTATATACATTCATTAATTTCTAAAATTCATATCTTGTTAAACTTTATCATAACGCTTGATTTACCAATCAATAGCTAACTGAACAATTCATTTGTTAATAAAACACCGCTGCTCTTTTTTATTTGCAGGCGCCATATTTAAATTTGATACCATATTATGTCACTACTAAAACTACAACTAAGATGAATTTGAAGAAACTCTTTATAAGAAACACATTACATAAAATCTGTACTAATATAATAAAGGGGAAGAGTTTTTTTTTTATAGGATAGGGTGACAAACGAGCACACTCCACCTGATGGTAAGTGGTTACTGTGACCCATAGACATCTACATCTATCCTCAATAAAGACTCAAGATGCAGATGCGTTGTCACCCGTGAGGACTAAGATGGAATGCCTCTTTGCCAGTAAAAAGGGTTTCCGGTTCTCTACACTCACCATACGAAACACAGCAGCGTTAAGCTGCTATTTTACGCTAAAGCGCGTTTGTTTAAACGCGCTAATCTCTGGAACTACCAGTCCGATTTGAAAAATTATTTTTGTATATTATATATGGCCAGATTCATGTGGAATAGTATAGGCTATCTAACATTATGCTATATTACTCAGCTAGCCTTAAATTGGGATATTTGTTGAGCAAGTCAGAAGAAAAAGCACTCCCGAAATGATTTATCCGCGTACGCTGGTGTTATCGTTAGGGATACGTAAATACAATGTTCTAGAAAAATATAGACCTTTACTCCCTCTAAAAAAAAGTCCGCGATACCATATGTCTATTTCTTATACATAAGCCATAATTTAGTATTTTGTGACAAAAAAAAATATTGAAAATTTAAAAGTGATTTATGAGAGTTATTATTAGGCATGGCCTATTTATCCTTACGAACGAATGTTACTTCATCATCAAGACAATTTTATGAAGATAAACTTTATTCCTTATACCATGTTATTTGGACGCATAGTTTAAGAGATAATGTAAAATTAAAATAATTCAATACTTGGCTGGGCGCGCGAACGATGCTTAAACCCTAGCCGTTATAAAATGATTGAACTAGGTCATGTCGTGCACCTCAGACACGTGATGACGCGGGTGAAACCGCGGGGCACAGCTAGTCATTTATACGCGTTAAAACCATACTGCAGTTATATTATATCATGGTTGTAGCACGAATGGATTGGCTCGATCGCGAAATGACCACGTTCTCACCACGACACCACGTATACCAGCGTAATATAACAGCTCAATACTGCTGTGTTTCTTATGGCGAGTCTAGAGTACCGTCTCCGGTTAAAAGGGGTCTTCCCCTTTTTACTGGAAACGAGGCATTTCATCTTAGTCATCAGGGGTGATAACGCATCTGCACTTTGATTCTCAATCGAGGCTAGATGTAGAGATATATATGGGTCACATATTCCACTAACCATCGGTGAACTATGTGCCCGTTTATCATCTCATTATATAAAAAAATCATACCCACTGTTTAGGCCCAAACATGGGCATTTGAAATTTGCATTCAACACGCGTGTCCTTCCGCTGACTTTGTAAAGGTCACCGTCGCCCCCTCTCCCGTGTGGTTCGCTCGGCAGAGGGCGCGAGCGCCGGACACGAGTGTGAAGTTAGTAGCTTGACCGCAACGGCTCTGTCGACTAGTGTATTTATTTGTGACCGCTGGACCGGTTTCGCGCGGCCAGTTTTTGGTTTTGGTGGTCTAGAATTTGAGTATTTGTGCGCGTTTGATTTGCTATTGAATGTTTGGGTTTCGTGTAGGCCGCCTCGAATTGGTTGTCTAAGTTGTACGTTTAGTGACAAGAGGCTTGTATTGAATTTGAGCGATTAAAGTAACTTCATCATCATCATCATTACAGCCCTTCACAAGTCCACTGCTGAACATAGGCCTCCCCCAAGGAATGCCACAAAGCACGGTCCTGAGCCACCTGCATCCATCGACTTCCTGCATATCTTACCAGGTCGACACTCCATCTAGTGGGGGGACACCCTACACTTCGCCTGCCGGTACGAGGCTGCCACTCGAGAACATTTCTTCCCCATCGGTTGTCGGTTCTTCGAGCTATATGGCCGGCCCATTGCCACTTCAGCTTACTAATCCGTTGGGCTATGTCGGTCACTCTGGTTCTACTGCGGATATCCTCATTTCTGAGTTTATCACGCAGAGAAACTCCGAGCATAGCCCTCTCCATAGCTCGCTGAGCGACCTTGAGCTTCCTCAACCGGCCAGCAGTGAAGGACCACGTCTCAGTTCCGTATGTCATCACTGGCAACACGCACTGGGTGTACAGTCTCGTTTTCAAGTTTTGAGGTATATCTGACGAGAAGATGTGCTGTAATTTCCCGAACGCTGCCCAACCGAGTTGAATCCGTCGATTGACCTCTCGTTCAAAGTTGGACTTACCTAGTCGGACTATTTGTCCTAGATAAACATACTCGTCAACAACTTCGAGCTTAGTGTTCCCAACAACTACCGGCATAGGTGTGACATGGACATTAAACATGATCTTTGTTTTGTCCATGTTCATCTTAAGACCTATCCGTTGGGAAACACTATTGAGGTCATTGAGCATAGTGCTTAGGTCCTCCAGCGATTCTGCCATAAGGACTATATCGTCGGCAAATCGAAGTTGAGTGATGTACTCGCCATTGATGTTGATACCGTATCCTTTCCAGTACAGAAGCTTGAAAACATCTTCCAATGCAGCGGTAAAGAGTTTCGGGGATATGACGTCACCCTGTCTTACACCTCTCTGCAATTGGATAGGTTTCGTACTCTGGTTCTGTACTCGGATAGCCATCGTGGCCCTACTGTACTCCGCAACAGGACTTATTTAGGTGCTGCGATGGCCAGGAAAGGCATCCAGTGGGGGTTCGACCCTACGGCTTGCCCACATTGGGGCGGTACTTTTGAGGCGGTGGCTAAGGTTGCAAGATCTGATGGGGTGCCTAAGGTGGCCTAGGTTTTGGTTGTAGATTCGGTCTTGCAACGTGCCGTCGCGACCCTATCGCGTTTGCCAATTTACTCGCGGACATAAGTCCTTATGTCCCGGACGGGGGTTTATTTAGGCCCAAACATGGGCATTTGAAATTTGCATTCAACACGCGTGTCCTTCCGCTGGCTTTGTAAAGGTCACCGTCGCCCCCTCTCCTGTGTGGGTCGCTCGGCAGAGGGCGCGAGCGCCAGACACGAGTGCGAAATTAGTAGCTTGACCGCAACGGCTCTGTCGACTAGTGTATTTATTTGTGACCGCTGGATCGGTTTCGCGCGGCCAGTTTTTGGTTTTGGTGGTCTAGAATTTGAGTATTTTTGTACATTTACAAAATCCTGTGGTCTCCGGGCTATCCGACCACCAAACGAAATTTTTATATTTTACGTCGAATAGTAAAAAAATAATTTTATTTCTTTGTATCATCATCATCATCATCATCAGCCCTACAAATTCCACTGCCGAAGAAAGGCATATTCCAAGAAACGCCAAAAAATTCTGAGCATTCTGAGTAAAATTAATCGAATTCCTCCGTGTCTTACCATGTCGTCATTCCAAATTGGTTCTTTAGGCTATATGGCCGACACATTTCTACTTCAACTTGCTGATCTGTTGGGCAATTCAGCTCTGTACTTTACTTTTGTACTTTTTTGGTTCTAGTGCGTGTATTCTCATTACGAGTTCTATGACGCAGAGATACTCCGAACATAACCCTCACCATAGCTCGTTGAGCGATCTTACGTTTCCTCATACGGCCAGTTGGACTTAACTAATAGGTACAATCTGTCCCAGGTGTACGTAAGACTTGATATTTGTATTGTTCCTTTTTATCTTAAGATCTATCCGTTGGAAGATACTACTGAGGTCGTTAAGCATAGTGTTAAGGTCTTCCAGGGATTTTGTCATAACAATATTGCCGGCAAATCGAAGGGTAGTGATGTATTCGCCATAGATGTTAGCACCTTACATAGGTGCCGGCAGCAGGGAGCAAGGGATAGCACTTGCACTCCCCAGTCAGAAAAAAAAATACATAAAAAACTGAGGGTATCTAGGTTGCTGCCCTTGTCAATAAATTCAGTATCCTCTTCTACTTTTTGCTCGAGTGATCTGAGGAATTGTTCGGATTAATTTCAGTCGCCAAATTTCACAAACGAACATCGCGTCAAAGTTCACGATGCCGTCCTCACCATCTGGATTTTTTATAGGATAAGGGTGACAAACGAGCACACAGTCCACCTGATGGTAAGTGGTTGCTGTGGCCCATAGATATCTACATCTATCTTCGATTAAGAATCAAAATGCAGATGCGTTGTCACCCGTGAGGACTAAGATGGAATGCCTCTTTTCCAGTAAAAAGGGTCTCCGGTTCTCTACACTCACCAAACGAAACACAGCAGCGTTAAGCTGCTATTTTACGCTGGTATTCTGTGAGAGCGTGGTCCTTCCCCGGTCGAGCCGACCCATTCGTGCTACAACCATAATATAGCTGCAGCATGGCTTTACCACGTATAAAATGCTTGGCGGTCAAACACTGTGTTGCGGTTGTTCATGGGCGGTGCTAGTCACTTACCATCAGGAGAGACGCATGCTCGTTTGCCCCTCTTCTATATAAAAACACTTCGACTGCAAAGATTAAGTATGTTTTCCACAGATTAATATGATGTTCACGTATATGTTTCGCGATTTAAATTTGACATTATATTTATCTACATAAATCTTGTATATATAGAGGTCAGTGACATGTACTAATATAATTCTATAATTTATATTAGTTGATAGTGTAATGTGTAGATGCAGATGCACCTCTCTAAAAGTAATCCCACTGGCGACGCGGCGCCCATGACCTTATTCTTTCTAATACTTACTGTATTCTTTAAAATGTCTTCCAATGCAGAATACAACAGAATAACATAATAAAATGAATACTTTTTGCCGAGGATTTAGTTTTGACATATACCGATAGATGCCACTCTTCACTTTTTTATTATTGTATTACTAGCGATCCGGCCCGGCGTCGTACAGGTGCTTTTTGGGTCTCAACAACAGCGCCAACTACCGGATCCAATTGTGAATCTAAACCACCCAGGAACCCATTGAAACACAAAAAAATTCATAAAAATCGGTCGAGCCGTTTTTGAGTTTTAGCGAGACTAACGGACAGTAATTGATTTTTATATAAAGAGATAACTCAGTGTTTGAGTCAGACATACGCCTGATCGTTTTTTATGATGAAATTACAACTTACAGACATATAAGTTACAGTCAAACCTCCTTCCGGTCAAGGGCCATCCCAACTGCATTTCAACTTACTGTCGCTAATATTACTTTTTACTATATTCCCCTTTTTTGGTCCTTATATCACCATAAAGGCAATACATCTAGTAAGTGCTGTTATGCTTAGTAAAACTAGTAGCCTAGGAAAAACTAATTGGATACAAGATCGGGTTTGGTCGGTAACGAAATGACTGGAGGCTTCAATAAAAACTAGTTTCGACTTGGAAAATTTCTAGTTGTTAACTTAAACACATATTACAAGATAAAAAAGCTTTAAACCATGTAAATTAAAATTTAAGTACTAGCTGTGCTCTAAAACAACATAAAAAAAGATTCTGTGCGAAAGCCGTTGCATGGGCAGATAGTTATTAAACTTAAAAAGAAAGTTAAAACCAACTTTTAAAGACCAAAAAGAACTAAGTGTAATCCACATAATTTAATAGCTTCAGAAGTCGGTGCTTTGTTTCTTTGTTAAACTGTCTTTTGAGGTCGGCTTTTACTTTTTTTTTTAGAAGCTTAATTATTTCGCCTCTTTTTGGGGACGAAGCTATATCACAACACTTTTACGTACATAAAAGATTTCATAACAATTTTAACAGTCTTGGGAGTGTAATTTTTTCTTTAAATTTACCCACCCTTGTGGTATAGCCTTTATAGAAGCGTAGCATACATATAAAAATAGATTTGAATTGAAAAGCTTCTCCTTTTTTTAAGGTAAATTAAAAAAGTACACTGTTGAACATTGACCTCCCTCATAGATTGTCTCCTAGGGGGGATATTTGCCATAGTTGCCATGCTTTTCCGCTGTTTTTTTTTAATTTAAGTCGTTATTAGCAAGACCGGCTGCTGCCCATCTCCTGATTTGTTTCCTACTATCCTCTTACGACACCTACGGGAGGATATGAAGTAGTAGATATTTTAACACTGCCACTACACGGTTCTGTACGGTATCATTGTGTCTTTTTGTAAATATAAACTGTTCTGAGAACAAACTACTAACCTTTAAGTTTAACAAAATACTAATACGTTGCCTGTTCATGGTTTAATGCAATTATGTTATTTGAAATTTCATTATATACTAGGTTTTATTTTCGAAATAATGAACGCTTCGACAGTTACATTCAACACTCTTACATATAAAATGAACACAGCTTTCGATCTTGTTGCTATTTTTGTGACGCACATAGATAGCATTGAGCAGCATTGAATGAAACCCTAACCTGCGCCAATTATCCTATTGGTTCTTTCCGTTGATATTTTTAGCATTATAAATGACTAGATGCTTTGTGTATGACCTAAAATAGAATGGGAGATCGTGAACGCGTGGATGTATTAACATTAATATTCAAATATTGTACTCTATAAGTTTTTACTAAATCTTTTTAAACTTAATTACATAAATGTATTCTTTAGAATCAATTGAGTATATATGTTGCTTCATAGTAAAAAGGACCTAGAACTAAATTAATTCAATAGGTTTTTTGATGCTATGTAAAAAAAAATACTAATTGAACTGTCTATCTGTAATATCAAAATAACTGGTTTTTATTAGGCTCAGGGGTTATTTGCACGCTTAAATAATTTTTTTATAATTTTTGCCTGTCTCTCTGTCTGTCTGTCTTTCTGCCTGCCTCTTGTTTTGGGCTAATCTTCGGAACGTTCGAATCGACTGTAAAATAAGTTTTTTGGTTTGCAATATCACACAAAAAAGATACTAACATGGTTTTATCTCTTAAAGTTTTGATGCAAAATTGATTTTATTTTTTTAAACCATGACTTATAGGTATAAGGTAGTGTTAACACTGCTGTGTTTCGTATGGTGAGTGTAGAGAACTGGAGACCCTTTTCACTGGAAAAGAGGCATTCCATCTTAGTCCTCAAGGCTGACAACGCATTTGCATTTTGATTCATTATTGAGGAAAGATGTAGATGTCTATGGGCCACTGCAACTACTTACCATCAGGTAGACTGTGAGCTCGTTTGTGACCTATAAAAAAATAAGGTGATTAAACCTTTTTATCTGACATTGATAGTTCTTGAATTTTACTAAACAGTTTCCTATATCGCACATGGCCTCGTCTCGTCTGTAATCCCCGTCAAATCGTCAAATCTGTAGGCATAGTACAATGAGCGACGAGCAAATCGGATCAGGTTTAGACACAAAATAATATTAAAATTTAAGAAAACTTAACTATATTGCTACATCTTAAACATAAGCTACTCAGCGATTATCAGTCTGGATTTCATAGCGATGTCCTTTTATTGATCCTGTCCCATTTAAGATTTGCACCCTCCGTCTTGCATTGGTTCGTTCTTCATATCTTCGCGGGCGTTAGAACTGAAGAGTTCCCAGTGGGCTATTATTGATGCGGGCGTAACGCAGAGCGGTATACTTTCTCCATTAATTTTCTCAGTTTGTATAAACTTGATCACATCTATTCGTAATTGATCGTACCATCTGTATGCTGATAACTTCCAAATTTATTTGCATTCATTTATTGAAGAGCTCCATGACGCTATTAGAATGTTAAATCTGAACTTGGAGGCCGTAAAAGAATGGTGTTGCCGTTTTGGAATATCAGTTAATGCAACCAAGTGTCAAGCTGTAGGTAGCAGGTTACCTACCTGGAATGAAGGCAATACTACCTTGGAAATCGTTGCCCAAAAACGTAACAAGAGCGCCAAGAAAGGACTATTTTAAAAAGTCGGTACATGACATCTTTTTGAAACGAAGCGATGTCGGCCGTTAAGAGTGATGATGATATATTTTGATATATTATTTAGATATTTTATTATCTGCAATTTAAAATATGTGTTTATGATATACATATATATATATATATATATATATATATATATATATATATATATATATATATATATATAAATAATATAAAAATAAGATGTATGCTACAAAATCTCATCACTCCACGGGTTGACTAGCAAAGAATGCCGGTGCACTAAGTTCGCCCGTTGTTCACACGTATTCACCTAGAGCTGTGACGATTTTAGAGAGAATCATTCTGATGTTGCTTTTTAGGATACTTACTAGGATAAAATTATTAAATTCTTGTATTGTCATTTGTGTTTGACAGAGTGCAAATTTTCAAGTCCAATCGGCCGTCCACAAGATGGTGAAAATTACATTTAAAATTTCCTTTACATAGATAGATACACACGAAGCTAGTAAAAATGTTTTGATATCGCACAATTTTTGAAAACAGCAAGAACTGAGCTGGAATCTAAACCACTTGCCAAAGACTACTATTATAGATTGCAAGTTTTTTTTTAAGTTCTACGCGGACGATGTTGCGGGTAAAACCTAGTTATAATTTTTAAAATCAGCAATTCGCTTAACTAGTATGGCGTTAAAAAACCAGGCGTTAATATCACCAATCAAATTCTCCCTACAACCAGGCCTAAACCCACCCATACAAAAAAGCAGAACTGAAATTAAATCTAAAACGTTTACGTCTTCAGGTGCTCTGCGTTTTCCTTTGCTTTGCATCACTATCGGCATCCGAAGAGACAGTACAAGACTTCATCGAACGTGCTCTACAAATTCCTAACGTTGATAAGGTGTTAAACTCGGTACTGGGGCGATTGGAGAGGAGCCGACAACGTGGATTCCCGGCAATAACTCAACAGCAATACGCTCAGGAAGAAGATTGTGAAGAACCATCAGAGGTAAAACTTTATAAGTTTGTAATTTTTTTATAGGATAGGGTGACAAACGAGCACACAGTCCATCTGATGGCAAGTGGTTGCTGTGGCCTGTGTGCTGTGGATTGCGAATCAAAATGCAGATTCGTTGTCATCCGTGAGGACTAAGATGGAATGCCTCTTTTCCATTAAAAAGGGTCTCCGGTTGTCTACACTCACACTGTATTCTGTGAGAGCCTGATCCTTCCCCAGTCGAGCCGACCCATTCGTGCTACAACTATACCATTAATATAGCTGCAGCATTTTTTATAGGATAGGGTGACAAACAAGCACACAGTCCACCTGATGGTAAGTGGTTACTGTGACCCATAGACATCTACATCTATCCTCAATAAAAACTAAAAATGCAGATCCGTTGTCACCCGTGAGGACTAAGATGGAATGCCTCTTTTCCATTAAAAAGGATCTCCGGTTCTCTACACTCACCATACGAAACACAGCAGTAACACTGCTATTTTACGCTGGTATTCTGTGAGAGCGTGGTCCTTCACCGGTCGAGCCGACCCATTCGCGCTACAACTATACTATTAATATAGCTGCAGCATGGCACTACCACGTATATTATCACATCATTATCATACACATATTCGAGTCAATCGGTTTGCTTCGTCGTTCACAATGTGTACAGCAAAAGAGTGCAATAATCTGCCAGCATCTGTTTTTCCATCGGTATATAATGTCGGTTGTCTTTAAAGTAAGAGTAAATAGACTTTTGTTAAGCTCAAGTCATTGTGCTTAACCATTTTAGCACAGCTTCGGTCAAGCACTGGCTTATAATATTAAAAAAAAACATTACAAGTAAATTGCTGAGGTACCTATGTACCTCAAGGATCTTTTCCAGCCTTATATGACTACGCTGTCGCAGATATTTTTTTTTTTATAGGATAAGGGCGACAAACGAGCACACAGTCCACCTGATGGTAAGTGGTTGCTGTGGCCCATAGACATCTACATTTATCTTCGATTACTAATATCAAAATGTAGATGCGTTGTCACCCGTGAGGACTAAGATGGAATGCCTCGTTTCCAGTAAAAAGGGCCTCCGGTTCTCTACACTCACCCATTCGTGTTACAACTATACCAGAAATATAGCTGCAGCATGGCTCTACTACGTATATGTGCGTAAAATAGCAATAAATACAGCTGTATTTCGTATGGTGAATGGCTAGAACCGGAGTAACAAAGTATTCCATTTTAGTCCTCAGGGGTGACAACGCGTCTTCACTTTTAATTCTTAATCGATGATAGATACGGTTGTTTATGGCATTAGTTACCCTAATGTGTGCTCATTTTTCATGTTTATTTGTATAAATAAACTGCTTGCTATTTAACGGTAGATCAAATAATATATAATATGTATGTTATTCTTCATACTCATAAACGTTTACTTTACTTAAATTGTGACCGTGCACTGGCGGTGTAAGAATATTTTTTTTTGAATTTTTGTATTTAAAAAAAATACTAGTAATGCTATTAAACATTACTAATATTCCCTTTAACCACTTCTGGTAAGCTTAAAATGCTTGTGTTAGAAGTGGTTCACGACAGTAGTCGAATGGTGGATTCGAACCCACGACCTTTCGAGTTCGCGGTCCGCACCCTGCCATTAGGCTACTGAGGCTTCAAATAAATAAACTGCTTGACATTTAACGGTGGGATTAGGATCAAATAAGATATAATATGTATGTTATTCTTTATACTCATAAACGTTTACTTTAATTAAAGTGTGACCGTGCACCGGCGGTGTAAGAATATCCACTACCCAATATCATCCCGTGGGTATCTTAATAATAGGGGACAGCGCGATACAAACCAGGAGAAGAGCAGCAGCGTCTTTCTAATACCAACTAGAAAACAAAAAGCTACGGTTGCGCACCCACCTGTCATGCGTCGCAACCATGACATATATCTTATGAGGCACTCTATGGGGAAGGTCTATATTGAGTAGTGGACTTTGGATAAGCTGTAATAGTAATGTTAATCACTTTACAATCAGGTTTTACCCGAATATACGGAGACCTTGCAGGAATCACGGGAACGAGGTTTGAGGCAGCTGGGCATCCAGGTAATCACTATTTCGATTAATATTCATGGATATATAATTGATACATATGTATGTAAATATGTGTCGAATTAAAAAAAAAACTATTGATCAACACATATTTTGTGTAGTGTTGCAAGAAAATTTATAGTGACAAATTTCTTATAAAAGATAAAAAAAACCAAACAGAAAACCGAAGTGGCCATAATATAGTCCTACAGTTATGACTTTGGTCAAGTCAAGTCATACTGTCGGCATCGTCTCTAAATATTCAACAAACCGAGAAAACTTTTATAGAGGCAAGAGTCCTACGCATAACATCGTTCAGAGAACCAGGAAGGGACAACCGGACAGTACTTTTCTTAAATGATAGTCCGGGAAACCTAAACTGACTGATCACTACGGAAATTCCGAAACAAATCTTTTTGCATCCTTTTGGTGCATGCCATTGAAATATTTCACAGTTTCTGGCTAACTTCTATATAAACATTCTCATTACTTTTTTTGAGAATATTGCTATAGTACGTGAGGATAATAATATGTTTATTCGGTTAATATGGTTACATTCTTATGACTCAAAAACTACAGCCTTGTTTGCATACGTGGCTCTGTGATACTATAGCTCTTCATCAGTCAATGATATAATAAAGGGTCAAAGGGGCTGGGCGCTGATTTAACGACGCCCTTTTTGACAGTTGACATTATAGAAAATAGTTTTGTTGAATTTAATATAGGGTAGTTTAGTTTTTAAGTTGATTTTTCGAAGTGTTCCTAATTATTGCCAAAGCTCGTTTGCTATTTTGCATGCCTTAAGCGCAAAGCGCATAGGTATGTTCTACTAGCGCCTAAAAATGAAGATTCCAACGTTTTGTCGCATAAAAGCGTATCTAACAATCATATTGAACATAGAAATTATATAAAAAGCACATTGTCAGAAAGATAAATGATTGTTGAACTTCTTAATATTTTTCCTAATATATTAATTATTGTATACAACTTAGTGTTTTTGTCCCTGTCCTCCTCCTAATGCTTAAGGTGAACATATTACCCTCACATACCTTACATAAATTATTGACACTGCTCGGAAGCAAGGCAATGCCATTTTTAACCTACAAATATTATATCAGTTATATTATTCAGTGACTGAAATAGAACATATTTTATGCATCTTAAATTATATTTAAATTTGGAATTTTTTTAAAAATTCCAAATTTAAATATAAAAATTTTCTAAATTGGCTGGTGGTAAACAATACGTGGAATGGTTATTGAGGTTGCTTTACTCTAGTTTAAACTGCAGTGACAAACTAGAAAATTGTCTGATTTTACATATTATGTGATTGGTGTGTCAGTTCTCAGTTGTGATAACGCCTGTAGTTTTAAATTATTTTGGTCGTAAATTCAATGTACTCGTATTATATAAATCACATAGAACGCCATATAACGGGAAGATTTCCAAAAACCTTCCAATACGAGAGGGCTGAATACAGTCGCTGCATTTAGCGTATTTCTGTCCATTACAGAATTAAATAATGCACTTTTTCATGATTAGCTGCATTTTTTTTATAAATTGCTTATAAAAAAAATTTATTATTTATTATACAAAAATTCGCGAGCATCTCGTGAAATAACAATAAAAATCTCTTATGGGCAAAAAAAAATTATAATTGTTAGAAATTTTTCGGAAAAAAAAATACTGAAGCAAGCAAAGTGAATATTGCTGCCACCGATTCCTGCGAAAAATTTCATATTATTCTAAGTAGACAAAACATAAAAATGTTTGTAAAAAGGGAGCGAGGTGAGATGAAGCGTTAGGCATAGCATGCACTTGACTGATGAATGATAGTTTTTATTATTTAATAATTTAAATTTCATATAATGCGATTAGTAATAACTAATACATAGGGAACATAGATTTTACTAGTACCTAGAATGTAAAATACATCGAAGTTACACAGAAGAATGTTTATTTCAGAAGCATTATCCCATATGCCACTTGGAAAGAAAAGTCCGTAGGCTAAATACAAACGAATACGAATACCGACCTGCGTATTATGAAGAGGTGCGATGTACTACGACATCTGACGACGACGTCAGTGTAAGCAGCGAGGTACGAATAACATAACTTTAGCATTTAAAAATTATATGGGATTTTAAATATCTATGTGGATTTTACGATATAATATCTTATCTATATAATATGCAATTTAGATACAAATTGCATATCTCCATCTGCTGGCGGAAAGCGTTATTAAGTACCTACTAGCGATCCAGCCCGGCTTCGCACGGGTGATTTTAGGATTTTGACAAAAGCGCTACCTACCGGGTCTGATTGTGAATTTAAACCATTCGTAAAATCCGTTCTTAGCTGACCTCTACTCAGCGAAAGCAATATTCCTATATATATAAGAGATTTTCATCTGTTTTTCATCATCTCTTTCAGATATGTTCAAGCCTTGGGTTCTCTTGTGTACAATGGAATAAAACAATCCATTTAACCAGAAGGCGTTATTCAAGGTAACATAAATAAGTATACGTCAAATAATATGTGATGACTACATAATGCATACAGCACAATTTATATCTACATCGTGCATATAGCATAATGCATACAACTTAATTTAATATAAGTACCAAATATTGAGATATCAGACTGAATGCTAGTTCTAGCAGTGGCTAGTGCAGCAAAAATGTTGGTCACTTATTTTTGAAAGAAGAATTTTCTGCCTACCCTCTGAGTAACAGGCATAAGAGTTTATGTTACGATTATGTTAAGAATATGCGTGTATGCGTAGGTATATGGGTGTGGAGGAAGAGAGAGGTGTGTCAGGATCGTGCCAAATGGAAGTCCATAGTCTCTGGCTACCTCTCTGAGTGACAGGCGGGAGTGTTTATGTTTATGTTAAGAATTCTCTGTGTTTGTTTCTATTTCTATAAATTATCCGTAGAATTACCAATTTACTATTTCTGCGGGATCAGAATAGAATTGGTCTTAGTTACTTTACTCTTTTACTGTCGTATGAGACGACAAAAGGAAACAAACCAGGAGATAAAAACTAAAAATAAAAAACTGCCATTGCCAATCCGCCTACAAGCTTGGCACTATGGCAAATATTACCTATGTGAGGCAATCTATGGGGACGCTATAAATGGCTATAAAAATGGACTATAAATGGACGGTAACTTTTATGGGGGATGAAGTTGCTCGCGTCGTGTCGTAGTCGTAGTGCTAAACGAACAGTACTACGTACTGGTGGTAGGTTGGTCCTTTACTAGTGAGTGGCGCGGCAGAGCGTTAGTTAACACCCACCTGGCAAAGACATACCGCCAAATGATGCATATCGTATTCCGGTATGATGTTAGGTGAAAGACACTTCTTAGGGAGAATGGGTCTGGACAGTTGCGTTGCGCATACGAACCGGTTGCGACGCGGCCGTTTCTTAATGTCAGGTGCCTGGTTATGGAGGTTAGCGGGATACGAAGCATGGTTGCACCGCCGGCCGACCGTAGATGGTTGGGGGCCCAATTAATGAGCCAGCCTGTTATGAAAGGCTGGCCCGCCATTTTACGAAAAATCTTAGGATGGCTCCACTATGCCGGTTGGCGACCGGAGGAGAGGAAATGGTGGCGATTTCCAGGGGGGTTCGGGCGCCCCCGCGATCTCCATGCTAGGTACCATCGCTGCTGTGACTCTGGTTGCGTCCCTAGGTTATATGCGTGACGCCTCGTCCAACTGCCATTCTCTCAACCTATTCACTCCCACCATTAATGAAAAAAAGGAAAAAGAAGAGTAAGTTTGTACAGCGTTTGCACTACCTCTCCATCAAAGTGCACCTCACAAACATCCGAGGCCAGCACTGTAATCTCAATGCAGTCCATTACCACATTAAGACCGACAAGCAGCACTTACTCTTCTAGACTGAGACGCAGATCAGATGTCCTCTAGCACATTGGAGCATAATTTCCATCAGCGCGCCGCAGTCTGCGTTTACGTTTGCCACGATATCTGCTGTAAGCGTCTCCGTCACCTTGAAGATACCACTTTCTCTACGATCTGGGTATTGATAGACACAGGAATGGATAAAATTATTCATTCTTGTGTCTACCGATCACACATAGGTGACCAGGAGGCAACTAGGCTGTTTGAATACCTCATTGAAGCCTCTGAAGTGGCTCTAAATCGGTACCCTAATGCACAGTTGGTATTGCTGGGGGACTTTAATGCTTGTCATCAGGACTGGATGTTCCGATACCAGAAGACCAACCACGCTGGGTGAGAGGTGTGGAATTTTGCCACATCGTTGGGGATGTCGCAGCTGGTACAACAAGCGACTGGGGTATCTGATGTGGATGGGCACACCAGAGATGTGCAAAATAGGTTATAAAATATATTTAAATGCAAAATGAAAATACTTTTTGTATTTTGTTATTTCAAATACAAAATATAAAATAGTTTTTCATTCTATATTTAAAATACTAAATGCAAAATTCGTGTTTACAAAATGCTTTATTAAAATAAAATACTTTTAGTTTTAAACTATTTTTATTTTGTTAAAAGTTCATTTATTTCAGCCAGCTAACAGGCTGATAACTTGATAACTTACTTAAATTAAATTTACTTAACAGATTTTAATAAAATAATTTGCTCAAATACACTGTCGCTCGTCTTTCTCCTGTGTGGTCTCATAGAATAGAATAGAATATTTTTTTTAATTCAATATACATTACATGTGTAATTCTTATTGAAAGTCATTTTTTACTTTACCACTGGTTCGAAAAAACCCTCTGTCCTGGGAAGAACCAGCAAGAAACCCATAATCATGCTTTCATAAGAAAAATCTTTCTACCGGCGCAGAGCTAGGCAAGCAAGTATTATATTTCAAGAATAACACTGTAGGGTATTTATTTAATGATTGCAGGCTGACATCATTATCCTTCAAATATTGCAATGATTCCAGGTCAATCGTGGTGTTTGCATTTGCACTATCACTAGCTAGTGATTAATCCGTATTATCATAGAACATGTAGTAGGATTTATTTTTTCTTTCTTGTGTGATGATTGATGTGTATTATTTACATCTTTATGATCATTTTTAAGTTTTCTCACTTCTGCAAGGAACAATTCCTTTATATGTTCTCTATTTCCTTTTGGCACCCATTTTAATTTAAAAAAGGATATGACATATACGTGGTAGAGCCATGCTGCATCTATATTATGGTTGTAGCACGAATGGGTCGGCTCGACCGGGGAAGGACCACGCTTTCACAGAATACCAGCTTAAAATAGCAGCTTAACGCTGCTGTGTTTCGTATGGTGAGTGTAGAGAACCGGAGAACCTTTTTACTGGAAACGAGGCATTCCATCTTAGTCCTCACGGGTGACAACGCATCTGCATTTTGACTCTTAATCGAAGATAGATGTAGATGTCTATGGGCCATAGCGACCACTTACCATCAGGTGGACTGTGGGCTCGTTTGTCACCCTTATCCTATATAAAAAAAAATGACACCGATGCCAAAATTGCATCTTTAGCTTTAGGATCCTTCAAATCATGAAAAAGTATTTTGCATTTTGTAAATACAAAATATGTCCAAAAAAGGTATTTCAAATAAAATATAAAATGTTTATCTAAAAAAGTATTTAAATACAAAATGGAAATAGGTATTTTGTATTTTGTATTTTGCATTTCAAATACTGTTATTTTTAAAATGTCACATCTCTGGGGCACACAGCCAACTGCCTCGACCTTCTGCTGACGACCGATCCAGATAGGTACGATGTTCAGGTTACCTCACCCTTGGGAACTTCTGACCACTGTCTGGTGTAATCTTGTGTTGATTTCCACGGTGTGCGACGAGAGTGGCGATACTAGCCAGCAGATTGGGATGAGATGCGGCATTTCTTTGCATCTTATCCTTGGCGGCAGGTTTGCTTCTCCGCTGAAGACCCGTCGAGCTGCGCGGATGCCAATCAATGCGGATAATAATCAATGTCATACGTCAAGCGATGGAGTATTTCATCCCCTTTGCTGACGTGCGCATTGGTGGTAAAGCTCACCCATGGTTCGCAGAGTGCGCTGGTGCTGAAAAGCACAAGCATAGAGTGTATCTTGGGTTGACACTCGAGACCGCAAAGTTCCAGATGTTAGCCTTAAGAAGAGAGCCTTTAACCAAGCTGCCAAATCCTGAAAAAGGACAAGCCAGTTTCGACCGCATTAGACGCATTGGTACAAAGCTTTTTCTCAAACCATCTGACAGTAGAGCTTTTTGTTCTCTCGCCAAAGCGGTCGAGACAAACTTCTGTCGGTCTACACTGCCACTGATAAAACCAGATGGCTCACTGGAGCCTAAGGAGAAAGCGGAATTATTTGCTTCTCTTTTTGCTTGCAATTCGTCTTGACAGTAGCAACAGCGTATCATCTCAATTACCACACTGCAGTAGCTCTATCTCAAAGGTCCGTATCACCAACAAGGAGGTTCTTAAAACCTTGCTAAGTCTAGTCGTGAACAAAGCTAGTGGACCTGATGGTATATCAGCTGTGCACCTGAATTGTCTCCTGTGTTGACACGTTTGTTCCACCTCTTATTCAGGACTGGAATAGTGCCTAAATCTTGTAAGTTGGCCAATGTGCCGCCTGTGCCTAAAAAAGTAGCCGTACCGACCCTGCCAACTATTGGCCAATTTCAATTACCCCATACTCTGCAAGATTATGGAGCGTATATTGAACGCCCACCTCATGGCATACCTAGAGCAAAATGATCTCTTCAGTGATCGCCAGTACGGGTTTTGCCGAAATCGATCAACTGGGGACCTTGTAGCGTATGCCAAGCACATATGGGGCGAAGCCCTCGTTAACAGCGGTGAAGCACTTGCTGTTTCCCTCGATGTTTCGAAGACCTTTGACAGGGTTTGGCAAGCTAGTCTATTGGGTAAGCTTTCAGCGTACGGCTTATTGCCTGGGTGAAGGACTTTTTGAGTGAACGGTCTTTCCAGGTTGTCATCAATGGCTGCTCATCCGGTACTGTGGCGACTAACGCTGGTGTTCCACAGGGGTCCGTTCTCTCTACTACTACTCTTCATGCTGCATATTAATGATGTACTCATTCCCAGTATTTATGGGTATGCAGACTACATCACAGCTGTGGAGAGATACCAACCAGGTGGCCGGGCCAGTCGGGATCAAATCCAGTCAGAAAGAGAGGCTATAGTTGAGCGTGTGAGACTCACGCTCAACCATAGCCTCTCTTTCTGACTGGATTTGATCCCGACTGGCCCACTCTCACACTACAGGCAGTCTCCGCATGGGGCGATGCCAATCTCGTGAGATTTAACGCTTCCACAACACAAGCGTGTGTTTTCACCGCTAAAAGGAGCCCGCTCACCTTGGCTCCTACTTTCCGGAATGTGTACTTGGAGTACACTGACCGCCTTCAGTTGTTAGGGGTTGAATTTTCTCCGAACCTAAACTATGGGCGGTTCATTGAGTGCAGAGCCAAAGCAGCCGCAAGGAAACTTGGTGTCCTTGCAAGGGTGCGGCGGTACTTCACGCCAGGGCAGTTCTTACCTTATATAAAGCGCAAGTCCAGTCGTGCATGGAGTACTGCTGTCACATTTGGGCTGGTGCTGCAAAACGCCACGTGGTAGCGTTGGACTCAGTGGAGAGACGTGCTAAAAGGCTCATTGGTGACCTTGATTTGGTTGAAACCAATCTTGTCAGCCTCGTGTACAGGTGCAGAGTAGCCAGACTCTCGGTATTCTATAGGATGCATTTCGGAGAGTGTGCGCAGGAATTACACGCTTTAATTCCTCCCTCTCTTTTTCACCATCGGACAACCAGGCCGTCGGCGGGTCTTCATCCCTTTGTTGTCAATATTCCAAGCATTAGAACCAAACGGTTTGCTTCGTCTTTTGTAGTGCGTATAGCAAAAGGAGTGGAATAATTTGCCTCATCGTTCCATCCGAATACAAAGAACCAGGTGGGATTGTGGTCAAGCATTGGCTTATAATAAGTAAAAAAAACTTTAGTGGTAAAGTTAACTCTCTAAACGTCAATTTTCATGACAAAATATAACACGGCAAATGCAACGAAATATAATTTAACAAAATGAATACTATAAAGACTAACAAAAAATTACTGTTAAACTATTAATTAAATTTTCAGTTTGGTTTCTCTTCACATCTTTTAAAACGCACTTGAAGTTAAGGCTGGGTGTTCCAAGCGCATTAGGTATTTAAAAGCGGTCGTTGCAAAGATCGAGTCGCGCCGCGCATACTCGTATTACCATGATTTTTACAAAATAATCACAGAAATATTGTTTTAAAGTTATAATTATGTACTCGTATATTGCATACAAGCGCGTGCTAAGAGAAATTAATATCAATTTGATACTCCTATTGTTATCGTGTTAACATGATCGGTGTCGATTTACACAGATTTTGTCACAATATATGACAAAATTTTACTAAAATCGATAATACCTACGTGTGCCAAACCACCGAAGTTGTATGGGTTACCAAAAACACACAAGCCCAATGCTCCTCTACGTCCCATAGTGAGCCAAATCGATTCACCAACTTGCCCATTGGCTCAACACTTAGCGAAAATACTCTCACCGCTCAGGGGACATACAAAGGATTCCTACCATTTTGTCAGCGAGATTAAAGATCTACATGTAGCAGACAATGAAACTGTTGTCAGTTTTGATGTGCAGTCTCTGTTCACATACTTACCTATTGAAGACTGCATCTCAACTGTAACGAGAAGGCTGGAGGAAAACACCATGCCCGTAGAATATGCAGTATTACTCAGGCACTGCCTTACATCTGGCTACCTATTGTGGAAGGAAGAATTCTAAAAGTTAGTATTTGGTGTGGCGATGGGCTCACCTGTATCCCCCATTGTTGCCGATATATTCATGGAAGACTGAGGAGAAAGCCCTGCTTACTTCTCCCGTAAATCAAAGATTCTACAAGCGGTACGTAGACGACACTTTCACAATTCTACCTTTAGATAATTAACTCCATTTTTACACCATCTTAACTCCATAAATTCTAAAATTCAGTTCAGAATGGAGTTAGAGGCAAGTAATTCTTTAGCTTTTCTAGATGTATTAGTAATTCGGAATCCTGATAACACCTTGAGCTACACTGTGTATAGAAAAAAGACCCGTACAGATAGATATTTAAATGGTGATTCTCATCACCATCGTTCACAGTTAGCTACCATGGGTAAATCTTTTTTAAGAGAGCATGAGGGATCTGTGACAGTAAACACCTGGCCGCCGCGCTCCAACACTTCAAGCAAGTTTTGCACGATAACAAGCTTCGGGTACCGCGCCTACGTTACGGTGAACGAGTGAAGCCGGCCACAGTCGAGCGAGAGCCTGCTGTACTGCCATATGTCAGAGGTGTCACTGACAAGATTGGCTACATCTTGAAGCGTGCTTCCATTAAAACATAATTCAAGCCGCCAAAGAAAATTTGTTAGTTTTTACCATCAGTCAAGTGTAGTGTTCCTCTGCAAGATGGAGGAGTGTACAAGCTTGACTGTGAAAGTGGTCTGTCTTATATAGGAGAAACTAAAATATCAATAAAAATCCGCATTAAAAACGCATAGCTGATGTGACGAATCGACGCTCCGGGAAGTCTGCAGTCTGTGAACACGTACAGAATCGTCCCCGTCACTACATTAGATTTGATAGACCATAAATCCTCGCTAAAGAACACCGATTACTTACAAGGATGATTCGCGAGGCTATTGAAATCATAAAACATCCTAATTTCAATAGAGAAGATGGCTGGATCCTACCATCTGCTTGGGATTCTATAATTAATAAAATTAAATCTCAACCCTAGCATACAACTGCAAGACTTCAAGATACTGAAAGTTCATACTGTGTAGATCGTAACAAAAATTTATAATTTTTATCTGGAGGTAGCCGTGGTTAATTATGACATTGGGGCGTCAAGCACCGCAGTCCTCCTCGTGACCATGGGTGCTGTAAAGTACTCCAAACGTCGAGAATATAAAATAAGTTAATATACGCGATAAAATCCGTAAAACTAGTTTTATTTAGAAGTATAGTATTCGTGTAAATATAAGAAACTAGACTTTGTTCTGCCCTTAACGGCGAACCTCTGTACTATAAAAATCCTTAAATTCGCAATAAAAAATATTGAGTGTATCATGATAAAAACTATCCTATCTTTCAAGTTGGACCAAACTGCACATATTGTGGAAAATTTCATTGAAATCAGTTCAGTAGTATAGAAGTTCAACGCGGACAAACAACGTGACACGTAATTTTTATATATAAAGATTATTATGTAAAACTTTACTATATGTCATATCATGTAAAGAATTGTGCTAATTAACAAATTTTATTTTAGCGATTGTTGGGAAACCAAAACGATGGTGATTCCAGCTGGATGTGAATGCATGTGGCCTGTTCACCGTTTGGGCGATATTACACATCACGTCTAAAAGCCCGGCGACTCTAGCTCGACATGAAGAATCTGGTCATACTTTAAAGAAATTAATGCATGTTAATAAACGATGGATAAATTGCTTAATAAATAATTAGCAGACCAAAATCTAACACACAAGACTGTTGTTTTAATTAAAAAAAATTGATATGAGATAAAAGTTTATGAGGTAAATATTTATGAGGGTAATAATGGTATTGCGAAATCATTAAAATATTCTCAGCACAAATGTGTTTAATTTATTTCACCTTATTGCAAAATAATGTTTTAATTAGGAATTCGTCCCGGCTCGCTTAGGTTGGGTACAGTCTATATGTTCTTTTTAGGCTGTGGGTTGGGTCTTTGGTATTATTAGACTTAAGATAATAAAAGACAAATAAATTTGTCTTTTATTATCTTTGTTTTTCTCTACAAAATATATTTATTTAAATATCTTTTTAACCATTCCGAAGACAGATAGACTAAAATTATAAAAATAATTATTCATGTTTTTAATGCATGCAAATAATACCCCAATCTAAATATTTTATTTCGATATTATAGACAGGCACTTTGATTTTATTTATATGTATGTATGTCGTGTAGTGGCGGTTAATATCCACTACCCCATATTTTCCCGTGGGTGTCGTAAGAGGCGACAGTGGGAAACAGGCAGGAGATGGGCAGCAGCATCTTCCTGATAACAGCAAGATTACAATAAAAAAAACTTCGGTTGCCACCTAAGACGACTCGACCTGGCAACATATGGACTGAGGACTGACGAGAAGATCCTGGAGCTGGAGGAAGAGATTACCTGGCATATAACAGGATTATCCGAGTTCTGAAGAGAGGTGGAGAACACGGTAATCCCCGAATCCTGCAACTTGTTCTATCACCGGGAAGGCGACCATCTGTCCCACGGAAGTGTCGGATATATCTAAATTCTGTAAAGATCCCCGGCGACACACTGGGAGTGTGTCGCTGGGGGTTGCGTACCTTATACCTACTAAGAATCACCAAACGGTATTCGTTGAAGGTCACACAGGTTTACGCACCAACCTCAGCATATCCCGATGAAGAGATGGAGGAAATGTATGTCAATATCTCTAAAGCCTTGAATTCCTCCGAAACCCACTACACGCGTTGAAGTCTCCCATTAACAAATCACACTTCAACGCAAAACTAGGCACAAGAGAGAACGGTGAGCTGAAAGTAGGAAAAAATGGAATAGGGCAACGGAACCCTAGGGGCCAGCAACTGACCGACATCATGGAGAAAGAGCGACTCTTTATGTTGAACTCTTTCTTCCAGAAGCGAGCTCACAGGAAGTGGACCTGGTCGAGCCCCGACGGTTCGACAAAAAATGAGATCGACTTTATTATGACGACCAGACGACAACGTTCAGTGAAGGCAATCGAAGGGGTGAAGACTGGTAGCGATCACCAAATGGTTAGAGGCACACTGAACCTAAACTTTAAGTTGGAGAGATTGCGTCTAATGAAGTCAAGCTCAGTCCCCCTCGTGCTCTGATCCAAAGTCCCGAAACCTTTCAGCTCGAGTCACAAAACCGTTTGCCTTTAAGACTGCAATGCAGTGGGTGATATGGATGACAAGCCCGTGGAAACTGTCCATGCGGTCATTCAGACATCTGGTACTTTGAGTGAGATTGAGAGGTTCTATGGGCAGCTGTACACATCATCGTTGGAACCACACGCAAGTGTGAATAACGATCCGAGAGTGAGTCTTATCCGACACTATTCTGACGATATCCCGGACGTCAGTCAGAGCGAGATTAGAATGGCTCTCCAGCACATAAAAACGGCAAGACCCCAGGCGAGGGTGGAGTTACAGCGGAGCTTCTGAAAGCGGGTCTCCATGGTGGCATTAACCGGAGGCGTGAAGCAGAAGTGCGGTGGTCTTGTTCTTCAAGAAAGGCGACAACGCTTTCTTGAATAACTACAGACCGATTCTCTTCTGAGCCGCGTCTACGTGCTGTTTTCGAGAGTCATTACGAGTCGTCTCGCACGCAGTCTTGACGACTTCCAGCCTCCCGAACAAGCCAGTTTCCGAAAAGTTTACGTTGTAGAGCCATGCTGCAGCTATATTAGTAGTATAGTTGTAGCACGAATGGGTCAGCTCGGCCGGGGAAGGACCATGCTCTCACAGAATACTAGCGTAAAATAGCAGCCCGATCGAGCCGACCCATTCGTGCTCCAACTATACTAGTAATATAGCTGCAGCATTGCTCTACCACGTAAGGACTTCTTACTCTTTCCCTGGGTTTCATCAAATTAGAAATGATCGCACTAATAGGAGTGGTGGGGGGCGTGGCGATCTATCTTAGATCCTGCATTCCATACTCGTAACTTTCTTAATGGTACTCCTTCGCTTCTTCACTTAATAATGCTGTCATCTTCAAATCTAATTTTCAAGCACGGATCGTGTCTTGCTGATGCATTCTTTTATAACGATTTAATTTTTCTTTCGTATAAACACACCATAACTACGCCCTCCTAAAATGAAACCTAAATTAGTTCTGCGACGTAATTTTGGAGGGATGGATATTGACCAACTTTGTGAAGATGCCTTTTGACTGATCAGTGATTGAGAGAGTACCATGCATTGACGATAAATTTCCACCAGCGGACAACCAGGCGGTCGGCGGGTGTTCACTCCTTTGTTGTCGATATTCCACGCATTAGAACCAAACGGTTTGCTTCGTCTTTTGTAATTCGTGCAGCAAAGGAGTGGAATAATTAGCCGGCGTCTATCTTTCCGTCCGAATACAATCTGGGCGTCTTCAAGGCAAGAGTGAATAGGCTTTTGTTACGCTAATTTTAAAGTCAAAAGTCAAAGATTAAGAGGAATAAAACAGAGGAAAACCTAAGGAAAGACGCCAAAATCAGGAATCGCTGCAACACATTATATAGAGATGCACTACGACGCCATATTCGCGACTTATCTAGAGTGTGGAAGTTCCTTAAAACAGTTGGAGTTGGTAGAACATCCCTAAATGCTTCAACCCATAGTGTTGATGTTGAACTATTAAATTAAATTAGAAAAATCTAATCCTTCTAACTCTTTTGATAGTAAACATAAACGGCAAACACTTCGTTCTTTTTCTGTAACTCCGACTCCTAATTATTTTCCGTTCGTTTTTAGTCAGTTTACTTTATGTGATATTAAGAATATCATATTATCCATTTCCTCAAATGCTGTCGGTAGCGACAACATTAGCCGTAATATGATTGTTACTCTCCTTGATGCTATCACTTCCATTATCACTTATTTACTTAATGCATGTGTCTGTTCCTCTAAATTTCCTCAAGCGTGGAAGAGTGCTCATGTTATACCCCTTCCGAAGAGATCTAATCCCGTAAACCTCTCTGATTTCCGTCCCATCTCGATCTTACCTTTCCTTGTTTGTGGTGTACAATAAAGTATTATATTATTATATTCATTCATTCATTCATACCTCTAAGACATGTGTTCACGCCCTTAGTTGCCCCAACAAAGGTCGACTGGACCAGGGCCCATGAATGGTCCCCTTGACGAGCAACAGAGGGCAGGGTCCAATGGCCTATGGATAATTGTTCTAAAACGGCTGCGAAGCAAAACAAACTTACCGATTTCCGGAGGTAGGGTTGACCACAGGGTACCAGTCAGGTGGTATGTAAGTAGTGTGTAATAGTGTGTAAATGATGTAACCTGACATCCCCGATGTAGTCCGACTGCAGATCCACAGGCGCTGCTTCTCTCCAAATGTGCGATCCCTCCAGGGATCATTTCACCATTTCACATTCACCCTTCACCAATTGAAAACTTCTGCTTTTATTTCACTGTAATAGTTTATCAACTTTATTGTACATTTAATTAACCTCAAAGTCAACCAACTCAACTTTCATCGCAATTAAAACAAGTGACACACAACACAAGTAAAGAGCAGTCTGTCAAAGTTCAACGTTCCATGTTCACTTAGCAAAAATTATAAACACGACCACGAATGCGGTCTCTTCTCGAGTCACAAAGTTCAGCGTTCCACACAACAAGGCAAAATTTCTTCGCACGATATTAAAATGCCACAAAGCAACTCGTCGAATCAAATTAATGTCAATCAAAGTTAACTTAATAATTTAAACTCAATACAAGCCTCTTGTCACGAAACGTACAAATTAGACAAATCAATTCGAGGCGGTCTACACGAGACCCAAATCTTCGTTAGTTAATTAGGCGCGCACAATTTACTCAAATTTTTGACCGTCAAAATCCACACACCGGCTGCGCGCAACCAACCCAGCGGTCGCAAACAATACTCAAAACGGTTACACCAATAATTATATGAGATCAGCCTCTTGACACGTAAAACGAACGAAAATAGACAACACACAAAAAAGGCACTTAACGCGACGTTACAATTCAACATTAACTTCCAAAAGCAATTAACCAGCCGACGCGCGACAAAACCTTTTCCATACTTTAAGACAAGCCTCGTTATCACGAAAAACAAATTAAGATAACGCCGTAGGAGGCACGGGCCCGGCCACCGAGCAACAAAAACCTTTCTCGACTTTTACAATACCGTCCGTCGCGCAACAATTATTATTCATACTTTAAGACAAGCCTCGTTATCACGAAAAACAAATTAAGATAACGCCGTATGAGGCACGCGACCGACCGAAGCGCCACAATTTATTTTCATACTCCTAATGTCGGCAGCCGCGCTCTCGAATGGAATGCGGACGGGAGCGGGGGTACCAGGCGGTGACTGGCACCGTCGAATGAACGCGCCGCGCGCGCGTCGTGAATTCAAGTTTCAAAGGTTAATATTTGGCCTAAACAACATGTATAGATCATATATTTTTGCGGGATGTTTACAGTCAAAATACCATATATAGACAATACAAGCCAGCAGTAATAAGCGAGGAAATCGGCGACCAATATAATCGTATAACGGGTAGGTATCATCATCATCATTACGGCCTTTCATAAGTCCACTGCTGAACATAGGCCTCCCCCAAG